ACATTTCATGTTTTTTACCATTGATTGTGAAGTGATCATTTCATGCACATTCAATAGTATCTATCAAATTCTCATAAAAATTGATACAATTGTCATATCAAGTATTTACAAGTTATTTGGACAAAACGTTTAAAAGTTATCACGATAAGATTAACTTGACGCAACGCGTCGCGTCTACTGTAAGACGACGGGGGACGATACGCTTTTACGCTACTATATCGAATAAATAAAATAAATAAATGAAAAATTGATCTCAGTAATGTAGGATTTTTCCATCGACTTCTTCTACACACGTTAAATATTTTATTTGTTGAGGAGATATTGATTGAAACTACAGCCTCGTTCGCTGTATCTGAATGAAACGTCAGACACGATCATTGAAAATTGCATCCATTGAAATAGAATCTGCAAACAAATCCAATCCAAATCCAACACAAACTTTATTTTCAGTATGTTATTCACTACGAAAACATTTGAAAATTAATTTTGTTAAGATCGAGTCGTTTCCAGGGTAGTGTGTGAAAAAAGCTACAGTAGGCCTCAAAATTAAGATAAATACGTTGAAGTCGTATAGTTTTATTTCAATTTGAAGTTTTTGAAACGAATGAAAAATATTTCATTAATGTTCTAATATTAAACAGCAAAAATAAATTACTAGAAAATATAAAACAGTTATTTCGTGAAGACTTGAAATATTTTTATTGAACTAATGTTTTATACAAACCGGAGTTTTATGTTCAATGTACTAGAGGTGACATGAATGAATTTTGTTTTTCATAGATACCACTGATTCATTCGAAAAAAATTCACAATACAAATAAATATCACGTTGCTTAATTTTGAAAAATTGTACTACTCCTCTGAGATTTAGAGGTCAATTGTCAGAGTTGTTTTTCACGTGGGAGAGATGTGACTTGAGACTGACACATGTGTGTAAATGAGTGCTTCTTGTTAGGAACACCTGTGTAGAAATTGGCGCCGGTTCCGCCAGAAATTGTACAAAAGTTTCACAAGATCTCTGAGAACGTCATTGCGAGTAATAGAAAACACCTGCTAATTCATTATCGTTAATATTTCAAGGGATTGTTTTCATGGACACTCTAATTTGTGGTTAATTATAAAAACTGTGGTATTCCTAAAAATATCACTGCTCAGTGATATTTTTAGGAATAAAATGATTTTTGAAAGCCAAATCGCTAAAGAATGGAATATACCAATATGCAGTGCATTTCTTTTATGTCCCCCCTTTTTATTTTTTGAAGGGGTCAACTAAAAAAAATGAAATTTGGGATAATGAAATCAATCCATGAATACTTTATTTTGAAATGAAATTGATAGATGAAACTTTCGAAATGGCGATTGGGCGCCATTTGGAAAAAAATTAATTCGAAAGGGGGGGGTCTTGTGACACATCTTTTTGAAGATCCTGACAAATGTTTCACAACCCTAGAGTATAATGCCAATATCTTCAACTACTACAAAATGGCGGAACTTTCAATAATTGCCTGAATACATTGACATTCAACTACATAATATAAGGTAATAAGCTTAAGGTCAGTTCAGAAGACGCTCCAAATGGTTGTCTTAAACTTCTTGACATATGAACAGCCTATCCGATATTTCACACCGAATATTTCCGAACACAGTACACCTTTTGCTTCAAATAGCTTCATAAAAAAAGTCCAAAGGTGTCAAATCTGGCGAGTGGGCTGGCCATTCCAACGACAGGGAAAAGTAGTATCCAAATAGTTTCTTACTTGTCTGGAGTAATGTGGTGGTGCTCCATCTTGTTGGAATACAATATACATATCGTCAACAGTAGTTTCCAGCATATTCAAATACAGTTCTCCTGTTAAATTTTGATCAATTAATAAAGATCCTACAATATGGTTTCCCAATCAATATTCCTGGATATTGGGTATTTGTTTCCCGGAAAACGTGAGGGTTGGTGTCACTCAAATAACGGCAATTTTGTCTGTGAACATTGCCGTTTAAAAAAAAATTATATTCCTCACTAAAAAAAATATTGTGGAGAGAGGTAGGATGCCTTGCAATGGTTTCCGTCATGATTTTGAAGAATTCTGTTCTTCGATCAGGGTCATCTTCAGTTAATTGGTGTACCATTTTAATTTTGTATGGATGATACCTATTCCTCTTCAAAAGTCTCCACACAGTAGAAAAAGACACCTCACAAACATTCGCGACGGAATAAGTAGACTGTTCAGGATTTACTACCATCTCACCAATTATTTGCACTTTCTCCGCAATGGACGGATGACCTGAGACCTTTTTGTTATATACACTACCGGTAGTTGTGAATTTGGATACGAGTTCCCTCAAATATTTTCTACAGATAGGACGATTCGGAAAACTTTCATTGAAAATCCTTTCGGTCTCGTGAAAGTTACGCGTCGCACCGTAAATAAAAGTCGCTTCAATTTTTTCTTCCAATGGACGAGATTTGACAATTTTAGAGATTGTTGACGTGGTACCTTTCTTCAATAATGTCGATAATTCTGTGAAATACAGATCCTGAGCATTCAAACGGAAATGAACAGTTACAAACAAACATACATTACATACAGGTGAAGCTAATATAAAACGTGTAATTAGTCTCCTCCCCTCGCCACACACCTTTCCATACGTTTTTTCTATTGATCGGAGCAGTCCTGTAAGTCTTCTTTGGTGAGGGCTTTTAGGAGCTCTGCCGTGTTTTGCTTAATTGCTTCCATCGACTCAGATCGGATCCCTTTCAAAGCAGATTTTATCTTCGGGAACAAAAAAAGTCGCACGGTGCCAAATCTGGCGAGTACGGCGCGTGTTCGAGCGTTTATCGGCCAAATACCGCTACACAGATAGCGTGTTATGGGCAGGTGCGTTGTCCTTTTTTCCCAGTATATTTCTCAGAAAAATAACCATTGATATTTTCACCATCTGCCGGCGAATAGATGAAGCAATAATGTCAATAATTCTGTGAAATACAGATCCCGAGCATTCAAACGGAAATGAACAGTTACAAACAAACATACATACATACAGGTGAAGCTAATATAAAACGTGCAATTAGTCTCCTCCCCTCGCCACACACCTTTACATAGGTTTTTTCTATTGATCGGAGCAGTGCTGTAACTCTTCTTTGGTGAGAGCTTTTAAGAGCTCTGCCATGTTTTGCTTAATTGCTTCCATCGACTCAGATCGGATCCCTTTCAAAGCAGATTTTATCTTCGGGAACAAAAAAAAGTCGCACGGTGCCAAATCTGGCGAGTACGGCGCGTGTTCGAGCGTTTATCGGCCAAATACCGCTACACAGATAGCGCGTTATGGGCAGGTGCGTTGTCCTGGTGCAAAATTCATGAGTTGTTCTTCCACAACTCGGGCCGTTTCTTACGAACTTTTTCTCGTAGTGTTGCCAAAACTGACAAATAGTAAGTCTGGTTGACAGTCTGACCCTCTGGAACCCATTCAGTGATCACGATACCGTTAATGTCGAAAAAAACGATCAACATTGCCTTGAATTTTGATTTGGACATCCTTGCTTTTTTGATTCTGGGCGATTCAGGCGTCTTCCAAAGCCGATTGCCGCTTTGTTTCAACATCGTATTGAAAAATCCACGTTCCGTCGCAAGTAATAATGTTTTTCATCAGTCCGGGATCTTCTTCTAACTTTCAAGGAAATCTGAGCAGACCTGTTGACGCGAGAGCTTTTGGTAAGGAGTCAGGTTTTTTGGCACCAACTTTTGTCATGTGTAATTTGGCACAGACTTTTGTCATTGTAATTCCTCGTGTAAAATGTTTCTAACCGTTTCTTCATCGGCGTTTAAAGCCTCGGCAATCATACGGATGCTCATTCGACGACCTGCACGAACAATTTGGTTGATTTTGGTATCTGTTTCCGGAGTTGAAACAGTGACAGGGCGACCTGGGCGCTGGTCATCTTCAGTGCTCTCTCGACCCTCACTGAAGCGCTTACACCACTCAAAAACACGCGCACGAGATAGAGAATTGTTCCCATAGGCATCTTGCAACAGTTTATAACACTCAGTCGGAGTTTTTTCAATTTAACGAGGAATTTGAGATAGATACGTTGCTTCTGTTTTTCGCCACACGTAGTTTTCAGCACGAGAAAAAAACACGTTCATTTCAAACCGCTACTGCACAAATATTATAGTAGTGACGAAAACGTGTTTTGGTACGTGAATAGAGAATATTTCCAGTTACTCAACGCACTACTAGTTTTATCCCTCACCCTTCTAGGGCGCCCTCTAGTAGCGCAGTCTTGTTATTCAATAGCCGGACCTTGTAATAAATATTCCAATGAAATTTCATTTCCAAGAAAATAATTGATATCAGAGTACAATAGTAGAGACAAAATGACGTTTCCCCCCCCTTTTCGGTCGGTCGGTAGCCGATCGGTTCGACGTGAGTGCTATGGTCACTCAGTCAATCGACTGATATGTAAGTCGGTGGTTCAAGCCCTAGGCTGAACGATCGATTTTCACTTGCTAACGTCCAACCCGTGTTAGGAATCATACGTTAAAAGGTAAGACCTCGTTAATCCTTAGCTCGCACAAGTTTCGACTTCTGAGGGTTGTCATTCGTAAGGGTGCGAAATAGTGGGGTAAGATATTCAAATTCAAAAGGCAATACATGCTTTATACAGTGAATTTTAAGGGGTTATTCCAAAAAGCGCCTAGTTTTTGACTTATGGTCGTCTTGACCACTCTATTCTTTCCTTGGTGATATGTTGGACAATTTTTCACTTTTTCACTGAGACTGGTAATTAAAATTTTCTGCAACCACAAATTGAAATTTTCATAATGCCACTTTTTTTTCCTGCGTTCACTAAGCTTAATGCCAAAGATAATTATTTTACTGAATTTTCAATATCTAAAAGAGCAGTATATCTGAAACAATTTACTTGGATTCCATATTTTACTTGATCAATGTTATTCATTTATTCCAACCTCTCAAATGTTTTGATTTCGACATAAAATACTCACTTGATACTTTGGAACCTCTTCTGAATGATTCGTACAACGTTTTTGCGTCCGGATATACATAGCTGATGAACTTTCCTTCTTTTGCTTCTTTGTAAAACCTCGAGACTCGAATCAAGTCTGGACCCTGTAACAAAATATTGTCTTGAAATCCACTTTTAGACAATATTTACGACTTGTAAGTAGAAGAATTTTTCGCAATTTCCCGCCAGTAAATTGGGAAAAAACCGTTGATCCCACTCCTTTAATGCGGTGTACTTACTAGTCACTTATAAACTATAATCTAAGGTATCCGATGCATCACTGGCAAAGTTTAGGACCATTTATTTGTTACGCTTATTGAAATGAAAAAATTAAAACAGTTCTTGAAAACGAAGCAAATACGGGTATAGTCATTAAACATATAGTCCAGGTCTATTTTTTTAAGGACCAAACACAAGCACTACAGGAAAATTCGTTAGGCGCTCTAAGAGAGGTGCCTGTGCGAAAGTAGCGATTCACGTTGAATTTGAAGCACTGGAGATTAAATTCATTTGGAAAAACGTTCTCAGGAAGTTCATTCTACATAACGCAGTTCTCCGAATGAAAGAATTCCTAAACAGTGAAGTCTGAGGTGTACTAAATTGAACCTCAAAACGATGAGTTATAAACCCCAGCACAGAAGCCCCATATTAATCTAATCTATAAAAGAGAAACAAATCTCCAACCTTTCTTTGATGTCGGAAGTGATGTTCGTGTCTCCAATCAGGCGGATGGCTCTTTTCTGGATGGAATCCAGCAGCTACATGGTATCTGTATTTGTAGAGTAGGCCCACATGTGACCCATTGTATATCCTACCAAGGAGTTGTCTTCTTAGGTCATCGTCCATCCTTTCCTTTCCAGAAAGGTGGACAGGTCACTAGGAGACATCTCCTTTATATCGGCAGGTGTAGGCCAAGACTCGCCGAACACACACTCTCTTATTGACGATAACTCCGGGCACTCGCACAGGACATGCTTGACAGTCTCATCTTCACACATCCTGCATAGAGGTGTGTCCACCAGCCCCATATTATGGAGGTGTCTTCTTAGTTGACAGTGGCCAGTCAGAAATCCTACTGTTAGGCGTAGATTTTTCCTGGTCATTGCCAAATATTTCTTCGGCGCCAGCTTCCCAGGGTCACCCAAGGTGATCCTGGCAAGACTACATCCTTTGATTTCGTCCCATCTCTTTAAGGATTGAGCTTGGGTGTAACATTTGGCTGGTTCCGCAATTGTCGAAGTCATCAGGCCGCAGGTGCCACTGGGTACAAAAATTCTTAGTCCAGCAGCTTCCTTAGCTAAAGAGTCGGCAATGCGATTACCTTTACTCTTGTCGTGCCCTTTAACCCACCTCAGGATAATGTTATTATCTACCGAGGCTTTAGCTAAATCTTGGTGATACTCTAGTACTAGCCCTGGGGTAATACGTTGTCTGTTCAAGGCTAATAGGGCTTGTCTACTGTCAGTGCAGATTGTTATGTTTTTTCCAGAAATTCCTTTCCTGGTTATTTCTGTTGTGGCGATTGAGATTCCAGCCAGTTCTATTTGAACCACGCTGGTATTTTTTCCCATTCCCCACTTAATCCTTAGCCTTAGTGATTTGGAGTACACTCCACATCCTGAGCATTCTTTGGTGTTTGAGCCGTCTGTATATGTATATGCGTATTGTATTTGTAGCATCTGACTCTGTGTTCTGTTTTATTTGTATTTTGTAGGGTTTATTAAACACAAACCTGGGTTCAATTGCATCACTGGCTGTCTGCAGCTGCAGCAGAAGTTGCGCAGTAAGTTGGTCCACTTTTATTTATTATATACCTAAATGATATTTATTATGTTCCTGGGCTACATGAACTTAATCTGTTTGCAGACGATACATTAGTTTATACTTCGAATATAGAACTCAATGATGCTGTAGATACTCTCAAAGGTTCTATGAAGAACATTGAAACATATTTACATATGAATAAATTAAAATTAAATGCAGATAAAACAAAAGCTGTGGTGATAACAACTAAATATAAACTGAACTCTATTGATTATAATGAAATAAAAATTGAAATTGGTAACACTACCTTGGAATATGTGTCTGAAATAAAGTATCTGGGAGTTATCCGATGTCCTGGAATCCAAATGAAATGACGAGACAAGTGTGCTGTCGCCAGCAAAGCTATATATTGAGTTCTCGTTTTTTTCCCAATAAGTCATTGATACACAGTAAAAAGAGACCCATCAGTTGATAAATTTTCACTCCACTCAATCTCATCATGAAGAAGAATCCCTAGAATGTTCACTCAAATATCAGCAAGATCTTTATTAATCGTGTAAAAACAGTCGGCGTCCAAAAAATTTTTTTTAGAATACCTACGAAACTATCGACTATTCATAATTTTTAGTCACAAAAGAAACGATTTTTGAAAACATCGACATTCAGTTAATAATATTCATTTGTTTTTTAAACATTGATGTATCTTGGGAACCAGTAAACACGATAAAATAAGTTGATAACACTTCAACTTCTGTTATGATGCGGATGATACATCAATAATAGTATCTGATCGTGAGGATTCAATGCTGGAAAGCAAATGTTACCAAGTATTTGAAAATCTAAACAAATGGTTCTCAGCAAACAACCTCCATGCAAATATGAATACATCGACATGTATTCATGCCGTCATCATCGGCAACGTAGCTGTGACGTAATGTAGGGAAAGCTTTCTAAGTTTTGATATGGTCTTACCCACTAGATGCGCGTTAGAAGACGGTGAGAGCGCTCTGTTGCAAAAATAATCTGTAGTGTATACATGTGCGACAAAAATCTATGTAATGATAATTGAACTGAGACCCAAAGTTTAAAACATAACAAACAAAAGAAGTGATTGCAAATGTCGTCTACTTCATGAAACAAGTCTCCAGACTGAAAAAAATTCAAGAGGGTAGTGCAAAAAGCAACGATTGTAACTCTGAATATTGAAAGAATATATAGTGAAATGAGAAAAAATAGAAAAGTTCCAAAAACTATTTTTAATGATTTTGACAAAGGGCTTCCTTCGAGTCATCGATGAAATGATTGCGAGAAATTGAATTAAGATGGAGAAAGACAAAAAATATCAGAAATCAGAAATCTAGCACTTGAGGAGATTTTTTTAAAAGATAATATACATGCGTGGTTGTTTTTATTTCGTTTATTTAAATAAATGATAAAATAAAAAGCAAAATAACACATATTTTCATTCATTCCAAATTATTTCACGACGTACTGTAAAAGTTATTCATCAGCAGAACAAGCGTAAAAACAAAAAGTAATATTTTCAGCATGAAATTAAAGACAAATAGTATAGTGCATCACTTCTGAAACATTTGGAAACCGTCCAATCGCACTAAAAATTTCATATTTAATCAACTCAAAACACTCAGTGACAGATTTAGTATAAATGGGTTTCAAATTTTGAGTTTAACGAACTGCGATAGATACTCAATCGTCATTAATTGAATTTGTGTAAACTTTCCGGACTGGTCCTAGTTAGACACGTTTTGTTCTCTAGGTGCAATCAAATTATTCATTTTTGGAAAGCCGTTCAATAGATAAATAATACAAATAAGTGTCGCTAGTTTATTATACTCCAATTTACATAAAGAACTGTAAAATTACGACAAACAGGAGACAGTAAATTGCGATTCAGAATATTATTGAGTTTACTTGGCCTAAACGAATTTATAATTCCAAATTGATCAGATAAATTATTATTATTATTCAAGGAATCAATATAAAGAGCTGTAAAATATAGACAGAAACAAGATAGTAAATAAAAAGTCTAATTAAAATTATCCGGTCTGCGAGGAACCAAAGAATCCCATATATATTTAGAATTGCTTGCAGAGATTGTGTCATTATTCAAGAAATGTAGAGAATGTGACATACAAACATATCAAATTAAAGAGCTAACTGAGTTTGAAACAATTGAAAATGAACTACACGCAGCAATTGTCAAAAATTTTTTAAGAGTTGTTATGTTTAGGCCACAATTTCAGGTCTTATGACATTGACATTATGAAATATCATTGACTTTAGGTCGATGATGGTCACTATCTTGCACTGTGTAGGTATATTAGAGACGGGCTTGAACATATTTGAAGTTCATTTCTTTAGATTTGTTTACTGCCCGTCTTCAAGCATAGCCCATTGACTGATAAGAAAGTTTTTCTTCCTATTTCAGAGGAATCGGGCAAATTTTGGATATGCAGTTGGTTAGTACCTCTTCCACTAGATGGAGTGACATTTTGTGATGTTCGCTCCAACTTCGGAAGAGGAATGAAATACTCTGAAAGAATTCCCATTATGAAATATCATTGACTTTAGGTCGATGATGGTCACTATCTTGCACTGTGTAGGTATATTAGAGACGGGCTTGAACATATTTGAAGTTCATTTCTTTAGATTTGTTTACTGCCCGTCTTCAAGCATAGCCCATTGACTGATGAGAAATTTTTTCTTCCTATTTCAGAGGAATTGGGCAAATTTTGGATATGCAGTTGGTTAGTACCTCTTCCACTAGATGGAGTGACATTTTGTGATGTTCGCTCCAACTTCGGAAGAGGAATGAAATACTCTGAAAGAATTCCGATTTTCAATTATGGAATATTGATGCTCATAGATTGTAGATTTTTTGTCCAAACAGACGTGTTCACGGAGCCTTACGTCAAAATTAGACAAGAGTGTTTTCATTCATTTCATTGAAGTTAACTGAAAACATTTTTATATCGTTCAAATTGGTTGTCTCAGATAATTTATACAATTTTCAAGTTTTTAGGTTCTTGGCACTTGTTTATCACAAAGAAGAGGATTATTCACGTGCTCATTCTATACTAGACATCTGAGTTATCTGCCAAGATTTTCTTGGCCGATTTTTTATTAAACTCGTCATTGAAAAACTATTTCTGACACTAATAAGATGTGATAAAAATGAAAATAATCAAACATTAAAATCGAAAGTTATAAACTTTTCATTATAGAAAGAGCACACATAAATTGACAACGAAAAATGGTCGACTTACTTTGTAATTGTAAACATCGGACTGGTTGTTGAGATTGATAGGGCTACTAATGG